AATGCTTTCTCATGATCTTGAGTGGTTCCAATTCCCTTTTCATAACAATATCCAAGGTTATGTTGCCCCTGATGATCTCCACCTTCAGCAGAATTTAGGTACCACTGAAATGCGTCATTGTAGTCTTGAGTTGTTCCAATTCCTTCATGATAACAATATCCAAGACCACACTGTCCAATAACATTTCCACCTTCAGCAGATTTCTGGTACCACTGAAATGCTTTTTTGTGGTCTTGAGTGATTCCGATTCCCTTTTCATAACAATATCCAAGATTTCGTTGTCCATCGGTATTTCCACCTTCAGCAGATTTTAAGTACCATTGAAATGCTTTTTTGTCGTCTTTGGTGATCCCAATTCCGTTTTGAAAAAGAACTCCGAGGATCATTGTATTTTGAGGGGTTTCCTGTCGGTTAGTTAATAAATTAAAAATCTGCTCAGAAGTCGTCTGATTGTTTTCAATAAATGTATTAATACAAGTTGTTAACTCCGAATTAGAAAGTCTTTTACTTATTTGATCGACAATAAGTTGATATAATTCGTCGAACATTTTAAGCGAACAATACTCAAGTTCATTTGAGGTTTTTAAGGTTTCTGGTTTTGAAAATGGCTCATTCGTTCTTTTTGGAAGTTTTTGACTGATCGCCGATCTTGCAGGTAGAATAATTGACTTTATTTCTTTATCGGGAGTAAGAAACCTATCCATTATATCATTCCAAAGTTGTTTTTCTAAGATCTTCTTATACGGTTTTAATTTATTAGCAACATCTTCACCGGAAAATTGAAAATATCGAATATGCGGCAGACATCGTTGAAGAATTCTTTTTAGATTCATAAAATTTTCTTTGGACCACTCCTCGATTTCCGAAGGCAGGGTGGGATCTTGTGCAATTCCCCATTGAATAACTTTATCCCAAATCTTGACTTCTTCGATTTGCAAATCATCTCTTTTCAGAAGAGAAACTAACGCCGCTTCTTTAATAGAAGTGAAATCTTCAGCTTCAAATATAAGATTAGGATATCTTGCTATTATATCATTACAAAAATTTTCCAAGTTTTTAAAACGATCATTTCTATCAAATATCATAGGATAAATGAGCGAAAAATGTGTGCGTAACCAAGATGATTTGTATTTGATAAGATAAATTTCCAATTTTTTGGACAATTCTTCGAATCCAAGCTCATCAGAGGATACCATTAAATCAAAAATAAATCTATTATCAATATTTCCTGGATTAACAACCCCTCCATAGATATATCTATAAATGTAAATAAAAAATATATTAGATACAAGTTACTGTTAATTATTTAAAGTTTAATTTTATTTGATGCGTCGTTAAGAAATCATTCACCTGAGAATTACTTCGAAAACTTTAGCAGAAGTGTTAGGCTTTACAATAGTTCTAATACGCTGTTCATTTTCGGTAATTTTAGTTAGTTCCTTTCGAAAGTAAGGTGATCTATAACGCAATACTGTCGAGTGTGCAGTAAATGATCTCTTGTTTGATTCTTTATCAATCTCGAAGATAACATTATAGTCTTCTTTATCGTCTAGTAGTTCCGTAAAATCTTGTGATAGTTTTTCTAAAAATTTAAAATTCATGTTTTTAAAATTTATGTACAGTACGGTAAGTGCACAAATGCAATCGGATATAAAGTCCCACAGTTACACAATAATTGAAAAAAAAACCAATAATTTAATTACTATGTCATTATGTAGAAAATACTGTATAATCCGAATTTGTTTAGCAAAAAAAAATTAGATTCGGACGATTAATATTTAGTTTATACAATGACCAATTATTCTCATTCAGATTTATTTAGTACAGGTAATTACTCTCAACTACCATAATCATCACCATCTACCGCTAGTTTCCTATCTCCTGTTTCTCCTATTATGCATGATCGTAGACTCTTACTTTTTACCGCAACATCACTCATATTTTTTTCCACATGCATTTCCTTATTTCTGTTTTCTTTTAACTATTTCTTTACCTTCGGGCGTTTCATCATAATTTCTTATAGTATTTTACCGAACAAGAGAATTGAGGACCGGATTTATGCATGAAGAACCGCATTATTTTTAATGTCAAAGAAAATCATTGAGCAGGGCCATGCTGGTCGATGAGTAGGTTTCCAATCATTCCGCTCATTCTTTACCTTTCTTCATCAAATAATCAATAAAACTTTTATTTGGAAAGTTGAGGAGCACGTTGTCAAGCAAGTCCTTACAAGTTGACAAGCAGTCTCCAAGAAATTCTCTTCATTATACTGTACATTTGAAACTAATTTCCCTTATTTTTTACTTTTTTAATTTTTTTTCTAGGAATGGGGACTCACTCGAAAAAATTATATAAGCATTGAGCGCGAAGAAAACAAGCACTAACAATTTCATCAATATATCATTTTCACAATATCGGCATTTGTATTACAAAAGTCGCATGCAAGGTAGTCTTCGTGATAATAACCCTTGCATGACTATAGTCATACATCGAGTGATTTACAATTATTCTCACTTAGACTTTATTAATATAAGAAGAAACAAAACGGGAATATTGCTGCACTGCTATAACTATTACAATTATTTATTTTCGACTACCTCAGTTATTCTTATTTTCTTGTAGTTTATTTCCTCCTTTCAACTTCAATATCGGTGATCATAGATCCTTATAACTTCAACATTATTTATATTCTTCTCTATTCATGCTTTCTTACTTCAATTCCTTATAAATTGTTCACTATCCTCATATTTCTACCCCATATATTTTATAGCGTCTAGCAAGAGTATCGGGGACCGAGTTCATGCATGATGAACCGCAGTGACTTGAATGTCCGAAAGCAAATCATTGAGCAGGGTTGTGCCAGTCAATGAGTAGGTTTCCAAGCACTCTACTTTATTTTTCCATTTCCTTTTTTCATCCGATAACCTAATAAAGCTCTTACGTATTTGGAAAGGTTGAGAAGCACGTCGTCAAGCAAGTACTTACAAGCAGGTCCCTAAGTGATTCCTCTACTATACCATTCAAAAGAAATTTTCTTATCTTTCCTGAGGGGGAGGGAGGGAAGGTCCACACGAAAAGCCAGATAGGAATCGGGCAGCAAAGAAAACAAGCACCGATGATCTCATTAATTACAGTGCATCATTCCATAAATACTGGTATCTGTACTACAAAAGTCACATGTAGGATAATCTTCGCGATAATGACTATCGTCATGCATTGGGTAATTAATTGCGATTCAAGATTTTTGTGAAAATTTTGATTTGATACCAAGGCATCAAATATATATTATAATGTAGCTTGATATCATTCAAGAGAACCCGACTTCTCATCTGGTCATAATTAAGATAATTTATTTATACTATTAATATTTTTTAATAATTGCAGAGAGTATGGTTATGTCATTAAGTAAAACAATAAAAAATAAAAAATTTACCTTTCTGACATTCTAAATCCCTTTCCTATTTTTATTTGTTGGCATTTTTGCGGTTATCCACGTAGAGTTTGTTGCTAAAGCAAAAAATTTCTTACGTGACGTTAGCACGAGTATTGTAAGGGGAGGTAAATATTTTAAGTTAACTCTTGAGGGTGTTTACAATCTGATCAATTTATTTTCCGTTTACTAAGTTACACCCTCGGATTAATACTTGATTGAATCCTACTCTTGTAGTTGGAACTTTCCTTAGTCCAACTCCGGTTTCTTATTAGCCACGTTGCGTAAACACATACGAATTTTACTTTAAATTGTTTAGTAATTTATAATACTCTATTATAACGGTAAAACGGCAAGTCTGTCGCTAAAAATTAATAGGGATTCGCGTAATAATTAGTAGGATAGGTGAACTTTACAATCATTGAGACGGTTTTATTTTGCAAAAGTCTTATTATTATTATTATTTATTTTCATTAACTTCACTTTCTTTTATACATTTTATTCTTTAATATTAGCTAAGGTGGCTATGTTTCTAAAGAATGAAAGGATAATATCGAGGATAAACTATATTACATGATTTTTTTTATAATCCTTTCTCTCCTTAATTATATAATTGTGTACTGCAATCGGAACAAGTTTTAAAAACGTCGCGTTTTATTTTATCCTGTTGCACTATATACTGTTAATGATGCTATCACGTAAAAATTTTTTCATTCATGCTTGCCATTATTGGTTTACACGATAGATCCATTTATATTCTAGTATCTGTATATGAGATAAATGCTTTAAGCGTGTTCGATTTGTCCGAGTAAAAGGAATTCACTGTCTTATTTGGGTCTTCATTTTTATTTCATTTTATAATTTTTATAATTCAAGTTGGGACAACTTATAATTACAAGTATGGCGAAATTGGATATCTAAGATTTTTCACAATTACCTTCTATTATACAATATTTTATCTCAATCACTCCTATTAAATAATTGCTTATTACCATCCTCCATTATTATCTAATTTTCTTCCATAAGCCTTTTATTAAAATATATTCACTAAAATCTATCACAATACTTGAAGTACTATTGATTGGAATGAGTCTTTCGTGGTACTTTCGCGGCGATCTGTCATGTGACTGACCGCGTTGCACTTCTTTCCTGACACTAGTCTCTTGCACAGAATATTACATACATTATCTACGTTATGATTTCCCCATAGGAGGGAACAACTATGTAACAGACATCACAACTCTTGACAATAGAATATGCCTCATACTACAGCAGCACTAATGCTTGAAAACATCGTAATTAATGATCATTTGATAGTTCCGATATTTAATATACACTAAATACGACAATATATTTTAATACTGTAACGGTGTAACGGCGAGTCTGTCGCTAATCCTAGCAGAGATTCGCGTAATCGTCGTCAGGTAAGTGAACTTAGGGTGATTTGAGGCGTGTTCTATTTGACCGAGTCTTTATTGATTTTGTTCTCTATTTTCTTAGCTTCTCTAATTATTACTTTCAGATGTACAGAACAAAGTTGTAAATCTGAATCACAATACAAAAGATATTATTATACGTGTATATCTTTATCCTCCCCTGGAGTGTCTTCATCATGATCTGGAGTATCATGAAAGATAACATCATCAATATCGACCAGATAATCTTCTAACAGAAGCCTCATCCTCTCAGCATCTAACTTGTTCTCTTTTCTTTTACGAAATGACCTCCATATTGCTCGTGGAATACCCTGCGGCGAATTTGGATCAATGCCAAATAAAAATATATAAACGGTTGTAACGATAGTCCATGTACCACCAATAGTACTAATTATACTTGGAATGTCGTAATTCCTATCATTGAATATACTGTGATGAGCCAAGAATTATTTCACATTTATGATTGAATAAAATGTGCCTAATAACTTACCATGTTTGCTTCTGAACAATTTCAATACTTGACTGACTAATTACTGATAAGCTACCATAGAACGAAGAGTCTGATTGATTTGAAAAACTTTTGATCACTGTATTCAGAAAGATGATTTAATATACTGTAGATATCAATTAACGGTTTTTTGGAAACTTGTATTTAATAACCGTTTACCAAGTCTGGACGAAACAGTATGATATTTTAATTGGCTGAATATGCTCAAAAGCGAATATCCATCAAAGTCTTCATGACGAACGCTTTCAAAAAATACCAAATTACTCTGCAGGAAATGAGAAAGAGATATTTAAGGAATATTATTATTAAATAATTTTATGAATTTATGAATTCTCAATTACCTTGTTTGGTGAAAGAATGTAATAATTTTCATTTATATATCTGTCAAGTAACTGACTTTGAAGGTCTTGATTTTTTTTGGTACCCTTTATACTATCTAATTCTTGATCGAGCTCGCCTATGTTATAATAAATCATAAAGAAAAATAAAAATTTTATCATTATAGATTTAAAAGGCAAACCAAAGAAAAAATTTCCACTCACTATGAACCAATTCTAAATATACGTCATCGGTGATATTTCCAACCGCATATACATCAAAGTCAATACCACCATCCGGTATAACAAACTTTTCTTGTCGAAAAACAATTTCATAAGTCAGGGATTCGTCTGTATACGAAGTGTAGATTAAGCGAGACGTGCAGTCATCAGAACTGAATGGATAACCGTCTAATTATGAATCAAATAAACAACAATTTATTAAATTTGCCAAATAATTTGAAATAAAAAGCTTTATATGTGCATGCCCGAATCAATGTAGGAACAATTGACTCTTAGTTGGAAATTAGAAGTCAAGAAAATGGCTATTAAATGCAAAAAAAAAAAAAATAAGCATGTTTAATACCATATTGTTAGTTAAGTCTTTTAAGAGAGGAACTCACCAGGAGCATATATATTGGCAGTATTGTCAATGAACTCTTCTATCTGAGGGTTTTGATTGATGTTTTGATAAGATAAATAAACAATATAACCAGTCATTGCAATGTAAGCAACCAGAATGAAGATAAATCTTAAAGGAAAACAGATTCGTGGTTCCGTTTTACGAGGTGAAGGAAAGAAATGTAAAATAGATTTTAAAACTAAATTTTTTTCTTTGATTTTTTCTATTTTTCTTATTTTCTCCATTTTATTTAGCAACATTGTTGAAGAAATAAAAAAAACCCCCAACTCAACACTGAACTTTACAGTCGTTTATATGAACTTTTTCTTTCTCTCAAGGGAAAAGCTGATAACCCTACCAACTTACCCTGAAAAGGATCTTTCGCCTATCACTTCTCTTATTCCCCCAAAAAGGAACAATAATCAATTAATCACAAGCATACATATTCAAACCCCTGCTTACAGATTATGCTTGATATCTAATATAAATTTTTTACTTTAAATATTTATTCTAATAAACAATTTTTTTTATTTCTGATTTATTTTTTTTGTGCAATACACTTTATTTAACTATGATTGTACAAGAGTCGTAGCGTTAACAACTATGATCAATTAAATGAAGGAGTTTCTTCAAATTTTATTAGGAAGATAAGCTAATTCCATGGACGGGGCAATTGCATATAATGTGTGACCAAATGTTTTTAGTTTCACAGTTTCTTTATACTCAGTCAAGAATTTGGAATTGTTTTAATAAATCTAAATAATTAAAAACGTCTCAATATAATTTGATAGTAAATAAGATTACTTGACAGTGTTTGATTATCTAAACAACAACAACAAAAATAATAATTTGATCAATGCTCATCTTTTTCTACACAACGTATCGTTATCTTTATTTATCAATCAATTCTAAATTCTCTCTTAGCTAGATGGTAAATGATGTATTTACAGTATTTGGTAATCCTGATCCTTAATCGAATTACAGTGTGCATCCGATTAATTAGTTAAATGTATGTTCTTCTTATTGGTCCATTTTACAGATCACCGATATAATGTGTACCATTACGTACGTACATCTTTTTTTTTATATCTTACGTGATTTGTGTTTAAAACGAAAGTACAAATATAATAATATAACTTCTCTTCTCTTCGGTCGTTTTTTTTTTTTATAACTTTATAATTAAAACAATGGACCAATAAAGTTGGTAACCTAGTTTGTATTCTACTATTTGATATAATTAGGGTGGATAAGAAGATATGTCATACAATCTCTAGCACATACATTTCTAAATGTTCTCATATAAAATTCAGTCATTTAACTAAATGCATATTACTCAATATTGACTTAGTGATTCTTGTTTTTTCTCAATGGAATTGATATTTCGCGTTGGTAAAGATGTCGATAAGTTGAGTTTCTTGACCAATTGCATACTCCCAATATATCATTTATTTCATTGCCATTATTTTGTACTAGAAAGGTAGCAATCACACATGCATCTTTTGCTGTAAGTTCTTTAGAAATCTTATTTAAACACATCTTGAACCATCGTGCAGCGTATCTACTGAAGTTGGTTTATGGAATGATGTAGAAGTTAAAAAAATGCACCGCTCTATTCCTTAGTAATTCTTCATTCTGAAGTATGATTAATAATTATATGCCTCTAATTTAGTATTGGTGCGGGAGCCAATGTTTTCTTCATAACTGTCTACAAATATATTTCTTATATCCATTGTATCACCATTTAATCTCGGAATTTTTACCTCCTTAGGATTAATATCTAACATTGCACCATCTTTTAAATCTTTATATAAAGAAAATTCTATTCTAGCTATACTATATTAGAATGTCTACATCCAGTATTAAGTGCCAATGAAAAGGCAGTTTCTTAAACAGTTCTAAATTGACGTAGACGTGTTGTCTCTCAATTATTCAATAAATTCCATGAAAGAAAAGACGCTTATGACCTTTGAGGATTTGTTTTGGTGGATGGACTCCGATAGGACATCTATTATTTCTTTCATATAACTCACTAACTGTTGATCTATATGTCGCTATAGGGTTATAAGTATGGTTATTTAAATATAGGTCTTTTTATGAATTTTGTTATTTGTGGAAAAAATGCAAGAATGGAATAATAATTTCAATTAGCGCACCAATTGAACCAGAGTTGAATAGATGCTGATACACTTTTTGTTGCTTTAGGATCAAATACTGCAATGTATATTTCTGCAGCTCTTGTAAAAAATCCTTGGCGTGATAGTCTCTCTCGAATGAAAAAGCGTCACAAATTTTTTATTTGGGATTCAAAAGTAGAATCTGTTGTATATAATTTCTGATTTGGCTAACAATATTGGAATAAGGTTCCAAGGTGGGTTCGCATAGCGCTTCCATCTCCTACAACTTAGAGCTGGAGCATTTGTGACTATTGTCTGAGGTTCCCAATTATATCGAGTTTGAGTGTTCTGATTAGTTGAGAATAAGCCTATCTCTATCTTTTCCCGTATTTACTATAATTGTATGAAGGTTTTTCTGAGTACCATCCACTCTAGGTTTATTTGATGTAGTCTGGATGCTGCATCTGCTATCTCTTTGAAGTTCCCTGGTATATTCTGCACCTGAATTCTTATTTTTCGATTTATGCATATTGTGACTCATCTGAGTCGCTAACATGCTTCCCTGATAATTGATGTATGTAACTGTTGTCATTAAGTTCAACTGTACTAGAATAGATTTATTCTGAGAAAATTTTAGTAGGCTGTTCCTTACTGAAATGATTTCTAGATAATTAGCCACCCTATTCTTAAATATGAATGATAAACAAATGGCAAAACGCCAATGTAATAATATGGCAATATATACAGGATTAACAAACAAATATTCTGGTTACAACATAGTATTTCAGGAGCAACGGAAGCAATTTAAAATATTTTTTGAATATAAAATTTTTTGATTTTTTTAAGATAAAAATTTAATATAAAATATATTTTAAAACAAAAAAAATCATATTTTTTTTTATATCATAAAAATTTATTTGTTTTATACAAAATTTAATTCTTATTTTTTTTAGATTTTTTAAAAACTTTGTCTGTTTTTTTTATAAAGTATCTTTATAAAATATTTTGAAAATATAATTGTTTATAACAATTCAAATAGAATTTTTTAAATTTTTATATATTATCTAAAATCTTAAAAAGCAAATATTTTTTAATAAAATTTATAACATTTGATTTTTAGTTTTAAAATATATTTAAATAAAATTTTATAAAATTTTAATAATTTTTATTTAGTTATAAGATAAAATATAAAATTAAAAAAATTTCAAAAAATTATAAATCATACTATATTTATTTATTTATTTATCAAAATCTTTTTTTTTATAAGTAAACATTATTTCTTTATTTGATTTGTATATGTCAAGATATATATCGTGAAAGAAACAACATCTTTTATATACTATTGTGATAAGTTAAACACTAGCTTGCCTACAGCAACTACTTGACTAATATTGAAAAGAAAATTTTAAACAATATATCTTGTCAAGCAGCACTGAGTGGCTATGGTTATCTACTCAGTATTAGGGGAGGAGGAATTTGTCAACAATGAAATTAAATTTCTGATACATTTAGTATAGTTATATTTACAATAAATAAAGGAGTTAGTAACTATAGTGGGTAGGTTAACCATAGTTTCTTGTGAAGAAGTGTTGGTAGATGAGACTTCGTCTTGTGGATTGTAAGTATCGATAGTTCTGATAGAGTGAGATGAAGTGGAGGATTTATTGTTAGAGTTCTACTTAATTTCTGTAATTGGTAAGGTATTGGCTGTTAAGCAATGAGATTTTCATATAAAATTATACAGCTAAGTTAGGACTTCTGATGCTGTCTCAATCCAGTTAAAGAAATCAGAAACTGAAAATATTTCATCTGTAATGCCACATGACAGTTCAATGACTTGCCATATATTTGAAATTGAAGATTGGTTATTGTCTAGTTGAAGTATTTGATTAATGATCATAATGATTTGTTCAGCTTCTTTGGAAGTCTCAGAACATTTGAAGATATGTTTTATATCTTCAGTGCAGAGTTCACATCTTGGGCATAGAGTGTCCTGATATTGGCTGGGATATAACTAGTGTAATTGTTGATAAGTAAGTAGGGTTCCTGATAATAACTTGATTATGAATGTAATAAGGTTGCTATAATTATTGTTGTATAGTTTCTTGATTTCTTAGTTGGATTTATTGATAATTTTTAAGCCATGTGAAGTATGTGTGCATATTTATCAAAATCTATTTTATGTAATTTATTAGATAATATACTGTATATACTTGAGATTATAAAACTATTTTATATTAATTTTTTCTATTTATAAATTATTAAAATCTTACCTATAAAGCTATTTGATAAAACCATTTCTTTATTACATATAATTTAGAGTTTTTTTCATTTGATTTGTAAGGCTAACATATATAAAGTTCTATTAGTATGCTTTTTCTTAGTACAATAGAATCTATTTATAATCAATCCATATATAAGAATATATAATAAAAAATATTTTATAATTATATTTTTATTTTATTTTTTTTTTTAAGTAGGTAAACATCATTTCTTTATTTTATTTGTATATGACAAGGTATACATCGTGAAAGAAACAACATCTCTCATATGTTGGTACAATGAGTTAAATGCTAGCTTGCCTACAGTAACCATACGACTAATATTGAAAAGAAAGTTTAAAACAATATATCTTGCCATACGGCACCGAGCAGCTATGAATACCTACTTAGTATTAGGGGGAATGGTATATGGAAGAGAAGATACTTATAATTATATTTTTATTCTGATCAAATTTAATATAAAACATATTAAAATTATATTAAATCAAATTTGTACAGAAAAATAATATGTATATATAAATATTTTTTAATAAAATTACTATTCGCTCAATAGCATTACTATAGACAAGTTCTACTATAATTTTTTTTTGACAATTGTTCTGTTTATATCAGTTAATTATTACACTGTCTGCATCTTTTAATAATTATCTTATTTTATATAAACAATCATTATATTATAATACTTTTTATAACTTCTATAATTACTTTATACAAAACTATATAATCTTTATTTAAATAAAGAAGTTTTAAATTGATAAAAAAGTATTGAAAATTAAAGATTAAAATTTCAAATTATAAATTAAAATTTTATTTGATATTAAACATATTAAGATTATAAAATCAGTTTTATAAAGTATTTTTTCAATATTAAATTTATACATTATTATAATATTAATTTTCTTTTGAAAATTTTTATACATATTTAAAATTAAAAAGTTGATTGAATTTAAATTTAATATATAAAAGAATAATTTTTGTATATTTTTCTAATATTTTTATCAATAAGTCTATTATTAATAGCAACAAGAACTCATATAATATTAAATAAATTGTTTATTCCTTCTTTACTTAAATGTGAATTTGACTTAATTAACCTTAAAACTATTACTAACTTTTATTTTTTTTCTTGTATTATTATCTCCAAATAGTTTAAAATTATAATTCTTTTAGTGACTTCCAGAATAATTATTTTATAGTAATCTTACTTTTAAAAAGATATGTTAATTAATAATATTTATTTAAACATATTAATTATACTATTACATTTAGAATTCTACAATTACAACTGTTTCATATATTATAATTTTTAAACAACAATAATTAAATTATATTATATTATTATATTATTTTATTATTTATTTCTATTATATTAATATTTCTATTTCTAAAGTATTTGTACTAATATAATATTAAATTATAGTATTATAACTTATAAACTATTATATAAAAAAAATTATTAGTTAAATATTTTATAATAAAAATTAATTGTTTTTTAGAGTATTATTATTATTTTAATGTGACATATTATATAAAATTATATTATTAGAACTTATCTAAACAGATTTATTATTAACAATATATAGTATGTGAATATTAATCTTTTTATATATTTTGACTTAAGAATATATGTAAGGTTTTTAGTTTTTTTACCATATTTTAGAAATAGAATTCCTAGAATTTTGATTGTTTTTTTTTATAATTACAGTCACTGGTATAAGTATCTTCCTTGCTAATTTTTTGTTAATTATATGCAAGCCTCTGAAATTCTCAAAACACAAAGTACATCATGGGTACTAATCAATCTTTGCCTTCTAAATTTAATTAGGTAGTTCATATTAGGTGCTAGATGATAAACAAACTTCAGCCACAAAAAATGAGCCTTCCGTTACATAAATGGTATGAAATTGTCTTTCTACGCATCTATCCAAAAGGCCCGAAGCTATCATTAAGTGAGATGGCAAAGGAGGTCCACTGTGACGAAAAAACGATCCATTATTGGATAAAAAGTGGGGGAGAGTAAAGATTTAAATGACAAACCGAAGTTGGAACAGCGAAGGATAATTACTCCGAGGCAAGATGCTATGATTATTGATTTTGCAGAAAAAAAAAATAAGGTAACAGCTACTGAAATTCAGCAGGAAATGAGAAAACAGCATACTGAAGTCAGTGAAAAAATCATTAGATGATGTCTTCACAAAGCAGGAGGTAAATATTTTGTTAAACTATTAAAACCCCTACTTACTGATAAGCATCAAGAAAACTAACAAAAACATATAAGAATTATAACTAGAATAAGATCATTTTTTCAGATGAGAGTACCTTTCATTTATACCAACAATCAAAAATGACATGGCAATTCTCTAGAAAAAGAAAAATATTTCATTCGATAAAGCATCCATTAAAGGTTCACATTTGGGGATGCTTTTCAGCTTCCGGGTTTGGTGAGCTTGTTTATTTTCAACAAAACTTAAATACAGAATTAATATTTGAGATGTATGAAATAGGTCTTATATCTTCTGTGAATAAACTTTTTGTTGACGGTTCTATAAAGTGAGTGCTTCAAAAGAACAATAATTTTAAACACCATTCGAAAATTGTTAAACGTTGAAAGGAAGAAAATAACATTGAAGTTCCCCCCTGGTTGGTGATGTCACCCAATCAAACCCCAATAGAAAATGTTTGAACAGTTATGAAAATGAATATTGCAAAAAAAAAAAATAAGATCCTTAAAGGGGTTAGTAAGGGAACTAGGAAACGAATAGAACCGTTTCTCAAATAATATAGTGGCAAAATTAGTTGATAACATGAAAAATTGTATTACTTGTTTAATAGAAGCTGAGGGTAACTATACTATATACTAGTATCAGTATAGACTGAGTACATCTAAATAAAAAAAATTTTTAATTTATCTTACTTTTGTGTAGAGTTAAGGGTGGAGGGATACCTATGCCAGTGACTGTAAATAGATTATAATATATTTTTATATTAAAAATTTGTTGACAATAAGCAGTTTATAATGATATAATTTGATTTAAAAATTTGTTTTGATATTATTAAGTTCAAAAAAAATTTAATCAATATTTAATTTTTGCTAAAAATTTTTTAGAAGTTACTAAAAAATTAAATTATTTATATAAACAAATTTGTTTAAAAATAATTATAATTTTTATTATACGAAAATAGAAAATAAATAATTATAAAAAAATATTTCTTATAAAAAAAGTTGATCTTTATTAAAGAATGTAATTTGTTATATTAATTTAAAATTAATAATAAGTTAACTAATATTAAGTATAAAAATCCAGTACTTTTGTAAAAATTTTTTAATATTGTATATATTGTAATGTTAAAAAATAATGAGTTTATCACTTGTATATAGCTTTGTTTGGCATGTTATACAATAGTAAAATAGGTTTGTTTCCTTTACACTGTTACTATATAGTTTGTATTATTATTAATACTTCTTTTTTTTTATCTTGTAGACAAAAGAAGCAATTGGATTTGTTCAACTTTCATTTATTAATCATCAAGATCATGAACAAAATAAAATTTAATACTGGAAAATAGAATATATAGAAGTTTATATACAAATAAAGATTTGAATTATTAAATAAGCATACTGCTACCTTTATTATTATTAAAAAAGTTGGATAAATTCATATATGTTTTTATTGTTTCAATTATTTCAATTATTCTAATTATTTTTTTTTTATCCTAATTATCTTAATTATTTTCTTTACTCTGATTATTCTTATTATAATATCCAATATAAGATTGTATAAAAAATAATTAAAAATTAAATAAGCCTAAATATACTTTTATTCAATAGCAGTGTCTGTAATATAGAGTTAAAAAAATATTTTTCAATATTGAAGAAGCTTTCTAGCAAGATATAATTTACATTTATAGAAAAGCCAAAAAAAAAATTATAAAACTGAATAGAAATCTTCTAAATATATTATATATATATATATATTTATATTATACTTAATATAAAAATTTTTCAAGAAAAAAAATCAAACTTTGTAATTTAACTAATATTAAATAGCTATATTATAAAAATCCAAAATTAAATAAATATAAAACAGATCACAGAATTTAGAAATTGATAATTACTTTACAAAATTGCTAAAAAATAAAATATAAATATAAATATATTATTTAATTATAATTTATTAAATAATATATTTAAATTTAAGAATCAAAAAGATTTTAAAACAATTTAAATACAGAAACTTCAATTATATAAATTAATATTATTAACAAATACAAGCCAAATTCCAAATTAGATTTCAATTCAAAAAATCATATTTAAAATCTCTAAATAAGAATATATTTCAAATAGTCAAAAGAAAAAAGAAAAAAAATATTTGATCTAAAAACTTCTATAAATAAAATAAACAAGGTTAAATAATTAATATATAAATTCATAAAATATGATAAAAAAATAGCAAATATTAAATTAAAAAATTTAATTCAAATTTATAATATATGATCTATAGATATATTTTACAGTTTATAATTTTATTATAAAAACTAGATTTTGATCTTAATTAATAATTAAACAATATGCAAAAATAACTTCATTTGTTTACTACTGATTTCTAAAAAATTTTTCTTTATAATAATTTTCTTAAAAAAACGCTTTTTCTTTTTCTTTAATATATTAATTATATTATAAGCTCAAGAATATAAGAATTTTAAGGACTGATGTTTTATTGAAATGAAATTTTGAAATTTTTGTTTGCTCTTTAATTATATAAAAAAATTTATAATAGTTCTTTTTTATAACTTTATTATTATATATATATTTTTTAATAATTATAAATATTATTCTTATGCCAATTTTTAATATTTAAAAAATTTTTTTAAAATCACATCTAATCAAAATAACTGAATTTTTTGCTTGTCTTAATATAATCTTCTAAATTATTATTTTGATATACAATATGTATTACTTAAAAACTTATAAAATTTTTTATAATACAATCAAATAATTATGCAAACTTAACAATTAATTAAATTTTAACAATTATATTTTATAACAATAAGACCTGTTCAAACCTGATATAATAATATTATTATTATTACTTAACAAAAAATAATAATAGTTTTCCTAATAAAGATATTTTTAACAATATTAATATTACAATAATATAAAGATACTGAGTTTTTTATATGTCTTACTTATTTTTAAATAGTTGCCATATGGATTTAAGGATCAAAGCACAAAATCAAAACTCAATTAATTATTTTCAAATTAAAAACAGCTGCTATTATAGTTTTACAAATTTCAACAACATATTCAAAATTTAATTATTAAAATTTAATTATTTTTATTTTTAACTTAAACATTTATAAATTGATATAAGCTATCTATCTATAAATTACTTTCATAGTTGAAATCCTATTATTCAGCATATGATAAATAATTCATCAAGTATTCTTCAACAATTTGGCAATAATTGTCAAATTGTTGATAAATGCTTAACAAATTATTTATTGTATGCTGAATAATTGACAAGTGGCATACTGCCAAATAATTGAATTTTAACTAGTGTTTTAGTGCAGTTTTATTTACTTAATATAATATAGTATTAAAAGTTTTATTTATAATAGACTAGTATTAATTTAAAAAGATATTTAATATAATGCTATAAACTTTTATTTAATAAAAATTTTATATTTATACTTGTTTGCAGTAATAATAATAATAATAATAAATATAATATAATAATAATAATAATAATAATTAAGCTATTATTATTTTTATAAATCACATTTACAAATTTAATATTATAAATATTATATATGATTAGAATTAAGAAAATTTAAATATACAATTTTTATCCTAATAATTTATTATAATTTAATAAATAAAAATTTCACCTTGATAGAGAATTAAATATATATATATATATATATTATTTAATAGACTAGCAAAGTTACTTTTTTAATGAACTTGAATTTTTTGTAAAATTTTATTAAACATTGTTAAATTTTTGCAAAAAATCAATTAATATAATATAATAAGTATCTCAATATTGGATTTTTATTGAAGTATTGAGTTAATAAGATATATGTGACTATAAAACTGTTTAGTTATAAGATTTAATTAAAATAATTCCATTAGGCCCAGGTAATTTATTTGAAGAAAAGATCTTGAAAGTTTTTCTAAATTAATATTATTATCAATTATTATAATACTTGATTAATTAATAATATGAATTACAGTATATTGATTTTTATAACAAGACTAGTAAAAGAGTTTGTATTAGCATATAATTTTCTGTTTGAATAAACTTGTTTATTATTTAATTAATTTTGGTTTAGTAATCCAAGATCTGATAGTTTTATTAATATATTTTTGTATAATACTGATTTTTATAATGTCAAATTGGATTTGACTGAATGCATTAACAAGAAAGTTGTATAAGAAATTGATTTAGGTTTTTAATCTGCATTTCTTTTTTTGAATAGCAGAAAAATCAATTGTAAATAATTATTTTCAAGACGTTTTAGAGTATTTTTTGTATTTATTTCAAAGAAGATGCTAAACAAGTTAGACTTTTTTTATTTTATTAATTATATTCTAATAAGAGTAAAGTTGAATTGAACTATTCTTTAGTTTTGGATAATAACCTTAACTATTTAAGTTCTATTTTTTCTGATAGATTTTTTAAAAGTTTATAATATGAACATCCTTGATGACACTGGTGTTAAAAATTTCTTCTACGTTATTTTTTCTTTGATAACTAGAAATTATTTTGGATAATATGTGATGTAGGAGTAGAAATGGAGTTATAAAAGCCTGTTTTTTGAATTGTATTTGTTTCTATGTTGAATAATAAATTGAAATTTTCTATTTTAGTTACTGTAAATAGTAGCATGCATGAATTGTTTAGTGTTTGTTGAGAATGTTGGGGGCTCCATGGTGAGAGTTAAATGTGTGCTTAGAGGTGCCCAGGGTAAGAAAAAGAACTGTTTTAAAGTCTGTCACCATAAAAAAATCTTTTTAGCAGAAAAATAATTTGAGAATGAGTTTTTTTAAATTTAATTGATAATTTTATTTTTTTTAAAAAAAAAAATATTGTACTTATGATATCAACTTCTGCTAGTAAAAATAAAACCTCGAACCAGTGCAAAGAACCTGTAATTAAGTAAAAATAAAACTTTAAAAAAAACCAAAGTTATTATAGTACCATTATTGTAATAAATTTGCAAAAAAACTATAATTGTATCCTTTAATAAATGAAGTTTATTTATTGATACAGTAAATAGGCAATAAGGATAATATATTTTGATTATAAAAGAATAATAATTTGAATTTGATATACTGCAAATGCTAAGAGATATTTGAACTCGTCAAAAAATTAAACTTGAAAGATTTTGAGACTTCTTTCTCATTATTCGACAATTTTTTTTCCTAAATTGTGTTCTCGGTAAGCGCTCAATGCCTCAATGTAACCATCTGTTCCATGTTGTTCGATGAAATCCCATACAGCGAAAGAATTAAGCCTTTTAATAATCTTTTCAACAAAGCTTTTATGCGCATCCAAATCATTATGCTTTGATAAGTAGCTTTCAATATCAGTTGGATCGTAATTGTATTTAACTAACTCGTGATTATACTCTGGTTCTTCTGCTTTGTCGGATTTTCTAAACCATGAAGACCCGGATTCGCGGAGGTGGAATACTACTTTCTCTCCGACTTGAAAATAATTCATTAGCACATTACTATGGTATCCATATTTTCTCATCCCTTTCCTAAAAGCCCGATATGGCAATTTTGGAACGATATCTCTTTTCAAGACAAAACGCCATAACGGGGGATAATTTTCACTGAGCTTATTTATACAAAAATTAAGTTCGACAGCAAAGTGACTATCGCCGACCGCAGGACTCGCAAACGTTACCGTATCTCGTAACTCACAAACATCTTTCAAAATATCCAACTCTACTTTTAATAATCGTGCGTAGAACAGAGTTGCTAACCCCCCTCCGAGAGAGTGACCAGTTATCCACAAATTTACTTTCCTGTCTAATCCTTTTTTATTCCAATAGCTCCTAATTTCGTCGGCTTTAGCCTTAATTGTATAAATGATTCTCTTGTAAGGAAAATTTCTCGAGGTTTGAGCATATCTCCTTCCGTCCATTGGAAAAAGATAATTGTAGAATCCTCGGTGAACTTGTCCGAAGAGATAACTTCGAGCATCCACAGACTGAAACGTAAGGTTAGATAACCACTCTCCATAATTATCTGGAGTTGTCCCTTTAAAAACCACTGCAATAAAATTTTTTTCCTTATTATAAAACATTCCGCAAAATGAACCACCGTCATCAGTATTTAGCTCGGAGATAGAAGTGAATCGAAGATCTGAATCGATTTTTTTAATCACGTAATTTATATGTAGTTCATTATATTCTACAATTTCCCTTATGTATTCTTTTATTTCACCTAGAGTTTCCATTTCGAAAGCGTGAGTTCTTTCGGTGAAATTCGATTGGTTTGTAGACAAATGACGTCGAGAATTGAATTGCTTTATATGTAGATTAAAACGAGGTTAAAATGTAAACAAACTTGGATTTAACGAATGCATATACCATCTTTAATCTCTCACCTTATTAATATTGGCTTCAAGATTCTTTAGCTTTTCATCATCTGCAAGCTCATTAGATTCTTTGTCATCTTTAGGTTCACTCTGTTTTCCTTTATTGTCAACTTTTCTATATTCTTCATCATATTCCTTAAGCATGTCGGTGATTTCTTTAGTATTTTTAAGATATTCTTTGATTTCGTTCATATCCTCTAGTTTCGAACATTCGACTTTATGATCTTGTCCTTTTTTACAGCTACACGAGCGATACGCTTTTTTCAAGTCGTTGATATTTTCGTGAATATCGTCGATAAGTTCATTTTTACGTTTATACACAATGTTAGCTAAGAAAAGAAGCATCTCGAACTTGTTGCAAATGCGAGTGTCTAAAATAAATCGAGTAAATACGTATTTGAAGAAGGATTTAGAGGAATTAATTTATTATGCTCACCATTGGAAATATCTTTCAAGCCTTTGACATGACCTATATAATGATAATACGAATTAATGCATATAGTGTAACAAATGAATTTTCTATTACTGTAACTATACTGTACTCACTATGCAATGAATCTAGCGTATATTTAAACTTTTTGAAATATTCTATACGAATATCGTATACAATATTGTATACAGTACAAGTGAATGAAATAAATTAAGCATTATTAGTTTTCATGATAAATTGAATAAATATTTAATCGAATGCACAGAATATCAGATAATAAGAATAAAATAAAAATAAGATATATATAAATGGCCTCATAAGATCACCTTGTTTCTCTGTATTAAAACATATAATGTGTAAGTAAATGTGTGTTCAATAAAGAGTTTTGAAAAAATAATTTATTGTGCAAAGCAGCCTCATACCATCATCCTGTTTCTCTAAATAAAGGTATATTGTGAAAGCCGATGTGCACATAAAGGATTGATTTCAGTATGGTCTTGTGTGAACAGTTCATTATGCAAATAATGATCTCATACCATCACCAAGTTTCTCTAAGTAAAGATAAATTACGTGAGTAATTGAGTTTCAATAAAGTCTCATGTAACTGTTTCATTGTGCCAACCTTCATCTTCGATGATTTTGCAACGTCCACTCATTTTCCTTTCAAAATCTTCGAAGTATTCTAAATCAAATCAAATGAATGAATAAGTGCATACAAGATAAAGGACTCCACAAGATTTATCGTACCCACCATCGTCTAATAATTCCATTCCGTCTCTCATGATCTTAAAATTTTCTATGATATAGTAAATAAAACACATGAATACATAATCTATTATAAAAGATCTAACAAAAATTGAACAGAGCTTTATACCATTTAATTTGGCTATTTCTCTTTTAAGCTGAGCGCAAATTTCTAAAAAGACAAAATACATAAGAAAATATTCTCACAATATATTTCTTACAAAAAATAAAATTCATTATAGTCACTGTTCTTAATCTCCTTTGGATCGTCCATATTTTCTAATAATGCAATACCATTAGATTACATGCAATTTATTTATTGTATTTAAATATATTTATTATACCGTGCTCGAGCTCGATTGGATCGTCTTCGATTTCTTGTAAGGGAACAAGTAATTTTACAGTACACTCAATATATTTACAGTACATACAGTAGTAACATATAAAGAAATTTATAATGCTCACCATCAATTGAAATTTCCTCAATATCTTAATAAAAAAATGCAGTTAATTCACACATAATATTCGCATGAACAAATTTAAAATACTCACTGTCCTCAAAAATACCTAATAAAACAACAGCAGTCAAATACACGAAAATAAAAAGTATAACAAAAAGGTTTTCCCAAGCATATTAATTATTCTGCACGGATTAAAATAAAAATAAGTTATCAATAAACGAATTTATTATACTCACCGTGCTCAAGGTTTGTCAACTTTTCCTTATTTCCTTAATAAAGTACAGTAATGCAATTAAATTACACGTAAATAAATTACAGTAATGTGAGCAAATTACTATACTTACCATACTCAAGACTAATCGACTTTTTCTTATTTACTAATAAAAAAATACTATTAAATTCACATTCAATAGATCTATTCAAATGAATTTATATTACTCACCGTATTTCTCTAAGAAACCTACATAAAATAAACACAGTCAACTACACACGCAGTGGATAATATACAAACTGATTTATAATACCTACCATTAATTTCTGTTTCTAAACGATCTGAATAGAGCAAATAGGAAATTCAAGTGAATATGCGTGTGTAGCTTTTATCGGATAGAAAATAGAAAACTGTTTTATACCTAGTATTTTCGCTATATAAAACAAGATCATAAATACATGTCAATAAATGCAAGGTATTTGACATATAACCAAATATATAATACCATCCAATAACTCGGTTCCGTTTCTTCCGTATTTGGGATGTTCTAAATAAAGTGAGACGAATGATTAAGTGCGCATGTTACAATTGAGTGCTGTGTGAAATAAACGATCTCACCTTTATTTTTGATAAAATGTATAGTTAAATAAATAAGAAGATATACTAGTAATAAAAAGTTTACATAAGCGTATATACATAAGAAAAATAGTCGTCAGATAAAATGTAATAATGTGAAGTACAATACCCTACCTTTATTTTTGTCCAATAAAGATATATACAGGATGTGATCTAAAAATTAACAGGTAACGAATAATAGTCAAATACCTATTTTATGATCTAAAAAAAAAAAATAATAATAAAGAGGTAAATACGTATGATGATAACAATAATGTGAAAATATTATAAATAATAAATAATTATAACAAGTAGCACTGTATGTAATTATTAATATATCAAAAGTTTTGTATAAATATATTCTTATACTCACCATCTAGTTCGAGTTCGGGATTATCTAGAAATAACAATAATAGTGATCAGATGCATACAAAATACATTTGTAACAAAAAAGTATTTTTTTAATCTAATGTTTAAGTTGACAAAATTGTCGTACCAATTATTTTCTTTAGATTTTCGAGGCAATCTAGAAATGATAGTAGTGATGATTAAGTGACGGAAAGAAATGTTCGATATGATTTAATTTATCCAATAAAAGGTTTTTCATTATCTATCGTACCGTGATTTTTTTCCTTTAGCATTTTGAGATATTTAGAATGCGATGAATTTTGTGTATTGATTTTGGTATCGTCTATAAATAATATTAAAAGTGGTCAATATTTTAAGCCAATAAGGATATTTAATTAGAAAATTTTCTTACTTTCAATTTCTTTTTTTAGCCCTTGGTGAGAAACTAGAATGACAGTGTCAACAATTATGTAAGTATGAACGAATTTTCTGATAAAATATCTAGCATCAAAAATTTTATTGTACCATCGACTTCTTTCTTTTGCTTTTTAATATGTTCTAAATGACGTAAAATACAATGTATAAGAAATAGTCATGACCTAACGATTGATCTTATAACTTCTTACCTTCATCTTCCTCTAACAAAGATAAAAAACATAAGAAAAAAAAACATCATAGCAGCTAGCAAGCAATAGCCAAATACCTAATAAAAAAACAAGCATAAGTGGCCACAGATTTATGAGTAATAATAAATAAGAAATAGTCATGACGTACCTTTAAATTCTACAAAGTAACAGATAAATTTTCGCAAATTAAAAAAACATCATAACGGTTAATATATACAATTAATATATTAAAGTTTCATTAAAATCGACTTATTCTATTTACCATTCAATGTTCTCTTGCGAAAACCTAGAAATAGCAACAGCAACATTTAAGTGATACGAGATGTTTTACAGCGTTCCCTAATAACATAAAGCCATTTTTTCGTACCTTCAATCTTATTATTTAAATTTCTGAGATCTTTCAAATACAATAAATATTGTTCCGAATTTTTTTGATAGACTATAAATGAAAAATAACAGTAAGTTTTAATGTATGTAATACGAATTTATCTATAAATAGCTCTGGATAAAAATTTTATCGTGCGTACCGTAAATTCCATTCTTTAGCCCTTTGAGAGAAACTAAGAAATGACAATAGCAATTATTAAGTAAATGTACACTTACTACATGCAATATGAATAAAGTCAACAAAGGGGTTCATGTCAACAGATTTAACGTACCATCAATTTTTTTCTTCAGTCTCTCAAGGTTTTCTGAAAATATACATAGGTAAGTAGACATTAAATAACGCATAATGAGCAGCATTATACCATACCTTTACTTTTTTCTAATAAAAAAAATGGATAAGCAAATTGTATTATATAACAGCCGTGAATGATAAATAGTCAAATACCTAATAAAATACAAATACATAAATGACTGTATCGTTGCCACGAGTGACAAAAATTAAGTTACACTGTAATAATGTACCTTCAACTTCCTTTATTAAATTATTTGCTATATGCGATGAAATTTTTAAAAACATAAATAACCCCACAAAGTAAAGGTTTTCGTATTAATGAATTTCTCTTACTATCAATTTCTTTCTTAAGCCATTTGGAAAAACCTAGAAATAACGAAAGTAATGTAATGATATGACACGATAAAATTTATCTGTTAACTAGATTCATATTAACAAAATCTATCGTACCATCAATTTTTTTATTTAGCCCTTTTAGAAGACCTAGGTGACAAAGAACAATATAGTAGTTAAGCTTGTAATAAAGGGTTTCGTATTAGCAAATCAGTCATACCGTTAGATTCTTTATTTGGTTCCTTTAGACGATCTAAAATGATAATAACAGTTAAAAGAATATATTTGAGGATTTTTTAAAAAATTTTATCTTACCATCGATTTCTTCCTTTAGCATTTTGAAACGATCTAGAAAATGATTTTTTAAAAAAAAATCAATAAAAAGAATACTATACTGTACGTAATAGGTAAAAATTTTATTATACGTACTATCAATTTTATTCGGTGGATTATCGAGATCTAATAAAGTAAAAAAAAATAAAAAAGAATAAGTTTTATACAGTATTTAATGATAAAATGCATAATTAGTCACAGATGTAGCAAATAGAAATAAAAAAAAAGAAAATATCTATATGCCTTTATCTTCCGCTAATAAAGGTATATAAATTATCAAGCGATCAGTATATTATAACATGTAATACAGTATATAATAATTATCATAACAAAAATTCTCAAATACAGCAAACGTTAATCACGCTTACCACTCGGCTCCGATTTTTCCATATATTCTGTAAATAACAATAAAGACGATCGTGTAAAGAAATGCTTTAGCAATGAGTTTTTATACAGATAAAGTAATCCAATAGAAGGTAGCGTACCATAAATTTTTTCTTTTAGTTCGTCAAGATGATCTATAAAAAAACAATAATTAGTTAAATGCATAAAACATGTGATTTGATATATAAAAGGTCAGTATCAACGACTTTATTTGTACCATCAATATTTTTTTCTTTTAGATTTTTGAGACATTCTAAAAATGATAGCAGTAACAGTTAGTACAGTAAACGCATCAATAATATAAACAGCTTCGTATTAAACAATTTATCGTACCTTCAATTTTATTCTTTAATCCTTAGAAACAATTCAAAAATAAAACTCGATATTAATAATTTCATCAATATATTTAGAATGAAAGTGGTAATATTCGTATACCATTAATTTCCGCTAATAAATAAACAATAAATGTATCAATATGCAATAATTGATGTGAAAACTTTTTATATAAACAAATAAATTATATATTACCAATATATGAGTTTTGCACCATGAATTTCGGAAAACCTAAAATGGCAATAACGACGATAAAATAAAAATATGATAGTTAATAATTTTTTACGCGAATAAATTTGACTCATAAATGATGCTGTATTAAAAAATTTATCACACCATCAATCTTTTCCTTGAGGTTTCCAAGAACCATTAAATACGATGCATTTAGCTCATTATTTTTTTGATAAACTAGAAATGACAAAAACAGAAATTATGTAAGCCACTTTATGTGTAATAGAGTGTTTGGTATTAATCAAATAATTTTTAGTAAAAAACCTATCTTACCCTTTATTTCTTTATCCAGCCTAGTGAGGCGGTCTATAAATAATAAATAACAACAATCAAGCAAATACATAATACATGCAACTAGTGTTTTGCGTGAATAAATTCGTATAATTTAATAATCAATCCATTCTACTGTACCTTTAATTATTTCGAGACGATCTAGAATAATAACAACAATTCATAAGTAAAAACATACATGTGGTGATGTTTGGTAATGATAAATTATCCAATTAACGAGTTTCGTATAAACAAACTCACGTACCATCGATTTTATTCTTTAGATCAACAAGGTAGGTATCTAAATACGGTAAAAGAAATATAATAAACAATGGTTAACGGATAACGCATAATCTAATATTAACAGTGATATACCTTACCTTCAAAAATTTCCTCTAACATAGATAATCACATAAGTAAGAAATGACAATTAAGTTACGTAATACAGTACTGTATATTGTAACGAGTAATGTATCATCATATTTTCATATAAACGTGTATATCATGTCACCTTGCGTTATTTCCGTCGTCAAGATACGAAGATGATCTACAGTATAAATGAAAATAATTGTCATCAAGCAAATTCATGATGGGGCGTCAGATATTAAAATAAAAATACCTTTAATTTCTTTCTTTATCTTTTCGAGAGATTCTAAATAGAATATGTAAGGAAATGAATAAATAAAATTGTTTGATTTAATAATGAGTAATCTTATATCTTTCCTTTAATTTTCTCTAATAAGATAAAAAAACACTCCATACAGCTAGAGAATAATAAATAGATACATACCTTTTTTTTAGTCCAAAAAAAAAAAAGATACAAGTATAAGTATCTACATATAGCAACTAATAACAATAAATAAGAAATAGACATATACCTTTATACTCCGCTAATAAATGTATTCAGAATTTTCACGTGATTAAAATATTATAATAAGTAATTAAAACACCTGAAGTTTTTATACAAGTAGATTTATCATACTATCTGATAGATATTGCTCCAATATTTCGCAGCAACCTAGGAATGGCAGTAATGATCAATAAATATATATTGTATGTAATATGTGAATAATTTATCACACTCACATGCCAATTCTATAATTCCATCTTCTAAAGTGTCAAGCCATTCTAGATAAAGGACAAAAACAAATAAGCGCGATAGCAAACGGTTTCGGCTATTAGAAAATATCATACCATTCTTTTTTGCTGGATCGGAACGGTCTAGGCAAAGCAAAAAGCATAAGAAAATACATAATAACAACGGCTTTAATATAGCACAAACAGAATTGTAGTACAAAATACCCAGTAATTCGATGCCGATCTTTATACTTTTATTACATCCTAATAATGACGGGAAAGTTAATAAAGAAATTAAAAGTTACGCATAAAATATCATTCTCACTTAACTACTCAATGAATTTAATTCTTCTTTAAACTTCTCGCTAAATTCTAATTAAGGCAGAATACATAAGTGATGAACACAATAATAGTGATTAAATGACGAATCTCCCGATACCTTTTAATAGCAGAATGATGTGAATATATATCTAGATATAATAACTGGTGATTAACAAGCAGTGAGCATTAAATGGCATCATACCTTTTGTTATTTCTAAATAAAAATTACGACATATAAATATGTGATAGATAAAATTGATTTTATACAAATAGAATTGTCACACATACTATTCTTTAACAAGCTATAATCGCGAAGAATTTTTTGTAAATCTACAAATAAGCGAATATTAATTCGGTAAGTTTAATATATAAGCAAACAACACAACGTAAGATAGAAGAGCAAACATTCTAAAGTTTCAAGCAAGCAACCTACCGGCTGCCTTCTCATTCGCATTAGGACCATTTTCTAAACAATAAATAAGAATATTTGATACGATTAATGCATTATGGTATAAGCTTTGTGTAAACCAACATACCAGCTGCCTTTTGACTTAGATTAGTGTCATTTTCTAAATAAAAATAAGATAAACAACTAAATATCTGTCGATACGTTATATGTAATAAAAATTTCATGCAAACTACTCACCAACTAATTTCTCACTTGACTTGAGGCCATTCTCTAATATGATAGATGCACAATACGTATTAGCATATTATAATATATATATTTATATATAATGCTATCCCACTCACCGATTACTTTCTTTTCTGTAAATAGTATAAGCGAGTATATGAATATTTATTTATAGGAGAGACATAAATATTGTTATACCCACCGATAGAAGCAATTTTCTTTTCTAAAAACAAGATAGACAAGTAAGTATGTAATGAAGAATTTCACGTACATGCACTTATCATCTTACCAAACGATTTCATTTCGATCATTCCCTTGTATAAGTAGCTATATCTGTCTTCACCTAAAATAATGATAAATAAATAAATATTCAACAAATGATTACACATATTTTTTATAGAAATAGATATGGATTTCATGTGAACGCATTTATTGTACTTACTGAATAGTAATTTCAATTCTCTCTTTAGATTTTCAAGATGTTCTAAAATATAAGTTAATTTACATTATTATGCATAAACAATAAGCATTAAAAGCAGATTTATAATATTTACCTTTCCGAAAACAAAATAAAGATACTTAAGTGAATATACTTATAATAGGCATAAATATATGATACAGTCCTATACCTTTTTCCGTTTCTAAACAAGGACTTAATAAGTACTGCACACGTTAAATATAGTAAAGTATTTCTATAGATATATTTTTGATACTTGCTCTCTTTTAATTTTTTTGTATTGTCTTTCAAACTTTCAAGATGTCCTAAAGAAACATAAAAACAAGTAATAAATACATATAGTACAGTAATAAAGAGAATTATAAATTAATTATTGTGCTTACCGTGTAATGAATGATGTCTCCTTTCAAATTTTTCGATAAAATCTAAAAATATATAAAGTATGTTGATAAATAACAAAGTGCATAAAAAAACAAACATCACTGTAAACAAGTAACAGATAAATAGTCTTGCCTATTTTTATTGAATAGATATGATCATAAGTAGACCCAACTAACAGAGATTATGATAGAACTTGTTTTACTTACGTTTCCCCACTAAGCAAATTGCAATACACAGACTGATTATCATATATGTTCTTTAAAAAAAGCAAATCACAATATATATATATATATTATACGTACATTCCACCGCTAATCAAATGTATCATGCAGATAAATTGTCATGTATATTCTTTGTAAAAAAAGGAACAATAAAAATAAATCATCATTCCTACCTTTCATTGATAAATCTATAACATATAAACAAATTATTATTTTCTATTCTTTAAGAAAATAAAACGAATAGTAAAATAATATATGAATTGTACCGTTATTAGCTAATAAATGTAAAACAATATAAGTATATACGGTATGCAATGTCTGGTAATAATAGTAAAGTTATGAACGAACTTAATTTCTCTAAATGAACATGAAATGAAAAGGTTAGTACGGAGCAGTATTATAAAGGAATTCACACCAAATATTCATCATTTACTTACTTAATAAATCCATTCCCTCTTCAAAACACTCGAAGCATCCTAACAAATATAAAATAAAATAAGTAAAGCTCATAGAAAAAGGTCTATGGATTGACATACTCACTACAGGTCAAGCGTAAGCCATCTTTTAACTCTTCGAGATGCTCTAAATAGAGTAAGAATGCGTAAGTAAATTTACGAATGTAAACCGACCGGTGATGAAATAGTAATAGTCTTACTTTTTTCCAAATCTAAATAAAATAAAAAATTCATTGGAGGAATGCACGCGTGACATCGGAAAAAGTGATAAAAGTTTTATACCTGATCTGTTGTCTAATAAAAATAAAAATAAAACCGGATTACATATGTAAATACGCATTAGCAAATATCTAAGTAAATTTATGATACTTGCCTTTACCCAATAATTTCATCCCACGTCTTAATTGTTTGAAATATTCTAATTAAAAATAAAATAGGTGAGCGATACTGTATTAGGCTCTTCATTATTTAAAGTAATTGAAATTCGTGTAGTTTTACTTTCTAATGAATTGTTTCATCTCATTTTGTGATAAATTGAAATGACTAAAATAAAATTTATATTTACCATCATACTTATCACACTTATCACACTTCGGTCGGATGTCTTTAAAGTAATGATTTTTGCCGCAACGTTTGAATTCGCCATACTCATTAAATTCTTTCCAATAATCAATATACTCTTTTTTAGAACTCCAATAATCATATGGTTTGTTCGTTTTGGTAATCTGATCCTTTATCAATAAATATATGCCAGCTGCTAATAACACTACAATAGAAAAGGTAAAAATGATAGTTATCATTAGGAAGTTGACCGGATGTCTAATAAATATGGTCCAGTCCAGATAAATGGCGATTCCTATGTAATTGAAGGCGCGAACTATATATGAGAAATAAGCCCATCTTCCACGGTAAACCTTTGAAATTCGTCTATGTTGGGAATGAAATAAATCCGAAACTTTTAGATCTTCTACTGTATCCCTTTCATATTGAATAATATAAGAAGATCCCTCTTCATCATGAATAGGAGTAAATTCATTTTTTTCAGTAATTAGATATTGGGGCTCTTCCTTTTCACCCATGACGACTTGTGAATGGGAATTTTTCAGAAAAAATCAAATCATATATATTTAAAAAGACTAGGAATTTTTTAATCCGCAGTACAGTAATCGGTTGTGTACGTAAACATGTTTGCAATACAAAGTCATGCAGTCAATCTCACATTGATCATTACTGTAACTGATTGTATTATTACTTTTATCAAAATAACATAACCAAAACAAAGATGAGAATGAAAACAAATTATCATTTAGATAATAGTATTTTTGTTTTATTTTTGTTTTTTTTTTTCGTTTTTGTTTGGATTTTGTTATTTTGAAAACAGCGATTATTACTATAGTCAACTAAATTAATTTTGACAGTTAACTTCGCAAAAATGTTGATCATTCTTATTCCTGAAAATTATCTACCGGATAGTTTTCCGAAAATCAATTTAATTTACCGTGACAATATTTGAGGACACTTGTATAAATTTTTTTAGTGTGGTTTTCTATGTTTTTTACTATTTTACCAGTCTGTTACAATTTTTTGTCACTTTTCATTCCGTAAAAGTTTGGGAAATTTCTTCATGATTTATCGAATTTCAATCCCAACATTTTTCATTAAGATCTACATTTGGATGATCGAAAATAATTACATTATTCTCGCTCAGATCTTTATTCAAAATAATGATTTATGAAAAAACATATGGGAATAGTGCTATAATTAAGTCGTATTATAACTACAAATAATTCATAATGCAATACTACCGTAAGGCCTTTAGTTTCCTTCCTAAAATACGAATTTTATAACTTCATATAGTTTTGAAATATTATGAAATTACTTTCATTTTCTGAAATCCGTATTTTATATGTTTTGAGTTCAATAATGTTATATTCGAAGAAAAAATGATAGTGAATCGGGATCTGGGCTCGTAATAATAAGATCGGTAGTCTAATGAAGGTTGAAAAGCAAGTCACCAAGCTGATGCAAATGGTTAGTGAGCAAGTTTTCAAGCAATCATGTTCCTTCCTTGTATTAATTACTTATTCATTTTCTATTTGATTTCTTATATAGAGGTTGAAAAGCAAGTTACCAAGCCACCAGCATATTGGTTGGTAAGCGGGTTTTCAAGCAACTATAAATGTTGACTTAAATATTTTCCTTGTTCTTGTTTTTGTTTTGTTTTGTTTGGGTTTTTCCTTTTCTTTTCTTTCTTTTTTTTTTTTTATCTTATTCTTTTGAGGAGGGTGGATAGGATTTAACACGAAAAAGCCAAATAGAAATTTGGCAACGAAGAAAATAAGCACTAAAAGTCTCTTTTTTCTTCCACGTAACCTAATAATCAATCTATTGTTACACGATCAGTGATCTTCGCAATAATAACCCTTGCGTGATTATGTCACGCATCGGGTCATTATTCTCGCTCAGATCTTTATTCAAAATAATAATTTATGAAAATCTTTAAATCAGTTACACGTAAGTTGCAAAGTTCAAAAGGATGTCTCATAGCATGAATTCCTAAAGCAATTAAAGCACAATCATGCTTCCACAATATATTTGATGTCCCTGGAGATGGATTGTCAACATAATACTTAAGTGCACTTATTGGAAGAGAATCTTGTGGCCAGCTTGCCTCATGATTAACTGCTTCCAATTTTCTTAGTTTTTTAATTAAGATTTTGCACCTTTATATTTAATATTGGATCAGGAAAATTTTTTTCTAAATGATATTTTTTAATAGCAACTAAATACAATCCAGGATTTCTAGTTCTTGCTAACATATCATTTCATATTAAAAACATTAAAATAGAATTCAGATAAGTTGGGCATGAAGTTAATCTATGTGATTTGCAAAAGGCATCGAAGTTTGTTCATAATGCCAATAAACATTTTTCATAAGGTGATTCGGGTAAAAGAAGCTTATATGCTTTTTTTAATAATGCATCTAAAAATATATTCTTATTGCTTGAAAACTCCAATGTTGATTTTTCCAAGGTTCTGGTATCAGATTTTTTCCTGGTCCAGGTTGGAAACTTTGTATTACTGGTGGTAAATCCAGAAATTCTGTCTTTAATGTTATTATAATTGGCCACCATGGTGCTGATGGCCACATTGATATAATTATTGTCATTTTTGCTTGATCTTGCATTCCATGCTTAATTATTCTGTGTATTAGACTTAATGGAGGACAAATATAATTGTTTTCACTACTCCATATTTGGGTAAAACAATCTACTGCCTTTGTTTCTGGGCAATAATAATGGTTATTGAATTGATTCACTTTTCTTGTATGGAAACTTGCCATTCAATCTATAGTAAAAGGCCCCATATCCTATTTATTTTATAAATAATTTTTGGGTTAGAATCCAATCAGAATCATCAAAGAATCTTGTTAATTCGTTGGCAGGGTTTATTTTTGATGTGATCCATTTGAACTTATGAATTAATATGTTATACATATTGCAAAATTCCCAAACTTCTTGCATAATCTCTTTTTGCCATGGTTTTTTGCCTCCTGCTTTTATTGTTCTTTGTCCCATACGATTGTCTATGTAAACTGTTACTCAATGATGTTTTATGTTGACAATAAATAATTCCAGATCAAATAATACTGCTAATGCTTTTAAATAAGCTATTTCTGTATGTTTGTGTTGTTAATTCTAATTTCTGAAAGCTCTTTTTTCTTCTAATATAGCTATCCATCCAACAGTTGATGCATTGCCATAGATTGGTAAAATTTGAGATGATTTTTATGCTGGTCTTCCATTTTTTCCTTTTAAATTTTCTATTAGCCAACTTATATCTTTTTTCGCTTGTCTGATTAATTATATTTTGTTGTTCCATTGCTATAGTTTTTGCTGTTCTGCTTTTATTATTAAATAAAACTCTAGACAATATACTTTTGTATGTATAAAGATATGATCGATGCTCATTATTTTTCCTGTTATCGATGCTAGATGTCAGGCTGTTAAAGATGCTATTGTTTGAATATTTTTTAATTCATATATTAGATTTTCTATTTTGGGTTTGGATACTATAACTTGTTCTGTTACTGTATTTAGTATTAGTCTGTAAAATTTTACTTATTATCTTGGATTTAATTGGCTTTTGTCTGTTAGAATAAAACTACAATTTTTCAAGTCTGAGAGAATAATAGAATCTCTGATGTGTAATAGTATTATATAATTTGGATATGTGATTCATATGTCGTCTATATGATTTTTGCAAAATATTCTTTTTGATTGCCAGTGTCTTATTAGTGCTCTCATTATTTTTGAAAAAATCCATATAGCTTGACTTAATCCAAATGGTAATACTCAGTAATTATACCAATTCTCTTTTATTTTAAAACCCAATAACCGTTGAGCTTCTTTGTTCATTAATATATAATAACTCTCTTTTAAATCTAAAATAATTATCCATCAATTATAATCAATTGTATGAAAAAATATATTTAATTTCTCGAACTGAAAGGTTTTGATTGGTAATATCATATTTAAATGCCTGAGATCTATTATTAGTTTCCATTTTTGGCACCTGTTTTGGATGTTAGAAATACTGGACTTACTTTCAATAGTTTCGATAGATGTGTTGGTAAGTTTGATATCCACATAATTGCTTTTGTTTTCTATAATCTTTCAATTTCTTAATTTAATCATATCTCTTGATCTTTTGTTAATGGGTATATACGTGGATCAGGTTGTTTTGTGAGGTTTATTTAATCTTTTGGAAATAACAAAATTTTAAATCTTAACTAACTAATTATTAGCTTTGGTGCTTTTATCTTTGTTTCACAGTATTTTACATGATTTTCTATATGAATGTATTCCATTACTGAAGTTTATTATTCTCTTCAAGTGTAATCAATCAAGCTTTCTCTCATTACAGTTTCTGTCTTTATAATTTCTATTGTATTTATTGTAGTAGGTTGTATATTCTTTTAATTGATAGTTGGGATGTTATTTTCTAACTTCTCTGTTTAGGTCAGATGAGTCTCATTTGCATAGTGGTCAAGTCTATTACAGATACAGTATGTATAAAAAAAATTGACCTTTTTAATTACAATTTTTATTTTAAAATTATTTAATAAATAATTAACACAATTGCACAATTATTATAGTGATGGTATTACATAATCTCCTGCATATACTGACATATTTAAAGAGTCTTGCTCTATAAAAAATTTTTTTTAAAAAAAATGTCCAACATCAGATTAACTTTTCAATGTCAAACAATTCTTCATTTCTGGAATTAGTGAATATGTTTGCTCAAGGAACTCTAAAAGCTTACCAACATTTCTCAATCTATAATTAAGTACAATATTCGAAAAATAAAAAAACTGAAAATATTACACATTTGAGGGGCAATGGTTGTCCAAAAAAGATCAGATTGGCAAAGGCATGTGTTCTCAGACATTATATTAACAAGGATAGCTCCTTACTTTTGCAAACTTTGACCATAAAACTTTTCAGGAACAGAGAGTCCGTATCATACTCGATTGTGAGGAGAAAATTAAAAGAGCTTAGTTATAAAAATGCTCTTTCAGTATGCACTCCAATGCTTACAGACCTTCATAAGGAAAAGCAGGTCGAATAGATGATAAAACATCTCAACGATAGTTGGAAACAAATCCTGTTTTCCGACGAGACAGCTTTTTCTTTATTTAGGAACACGATAAAATGATAGTACAATGACTATAAACCAATCAGGCCACTTCCTAAAAACAAACAAAAGATTTTTGCCTAGGGGATTTTGTATCAAAGACAAAATATCTTTATTTTGCTTTACTAACATTATTAATGCTGAATTTTACATTGAAATCTTGTGTCAACACTATCCAGAAATCAGAAGAATGCTTGATAAGTAATGAAGGTTTCAACAGGAAAATGACCCGAAGAATATGAGCCAAATTGTCCAAGAGTTTGTCAACAAGACTTTTCCTAAGATCATCGATTAGCCGGCCAATAGCCCGGACCTTAATCCCATAGAAAACTTATGAAGTATCATTAAAAATAGTGTGGAAAAGTGATTACTCTCAAATCTTGATGAGTTAGAATGTTTCATAATTGAAGAATGGCAAAAAATTCCAACTGATACTTTAACTAATCTTGTTAAATCAATGAAATGACATTGTCAGCTAATTATCAATAATAATGGTGATCAAATTCCTTATTAATATATTTTTTTTATAAATAAAAATTATATGTTTTTTTTTTTTAAATAAAATATTGTACATAAAATTTAATTAAATTATTAAAAAAAAAAGGGTTGAATTTTTTTTTATAAATACTGTATAACATTTGTTAAATGAATTTGTTTTCTGTTAATAGATAGTACAAAAAAATTTTCCAGCATCATGATAACTTTTATTCCAATAGCCAAAGTTACTTGATTTATATAACTCATATATTCTCTGATGTTTTGTTTTCTTTACTTCCACTAGAGTTTTTGTCTTTTTTATTAAGGAATCTTTTTGTTTTAATCGGTTATCTTGTATATTAGAGAGAGCTGATACTATATTCTTCTGTCATTCTCAAGATAAATATGTGATTTGCTATTACTTCTCATGCAATATAAATATGGTTTACAACTTTTACAATACTTCTTAATTCTATTGCAAAATCCAATTCTTTTCTAATTCTGCATAAGGCATCATATTCATATTGATTATAAGCTTTCTCAAATTTATGTTTTTGTCATATCTCATCAACTTCAACTTTGTGTCTAATATCTTGTACTTGTGCCATAATGGTATTTAACTTGTGTTTATAATTAGTATAGCATTTTCAAATCTCTTAAACTTTATCAACATTTGATTACTGATCAAATCCTAATTTCCATCCTCTTTATTTAGTAATGATTATTTCTTTTTGTTTTCTATTTATATATGAGTTGACTCAGACTTACAAATACTGGGAGTGGATGATTATTTTCTAGTAAATGAAATTACTGCTGAAATTTCTTTTTTAGATTGATAAGCTAGTTCCTTTAATGTTTTTGCCTGTGAACTCAAGTTCTGCATTTTAGTCATTTTTAAATAATCATTAAGTAGTTGAGTGTTGGAATCACCTTCATTACTTCTATAAGATCCCTCTGACTCATGGCTAAATGCACAATTTTTTTCTTTTAAATATTTGCATAATCTTTGCACAAGGTCAGATTTATTTCTTCAGTAGAAATTATCAAAACTTGGCACATGTTTTCCAAATTATTTTTTGAAATATTGGTATCTGCCATAATTGGATTTAAATGAAAGATATGACTTTCACATGAAAAAGCCAGATAGAAATCAGGCAACGAAGAAAATAAGCACTAAAAATTTCTTTTTTCTTCCACGTAACCTAATAATCAATTTATTGTTACATAATCAATGATCTTTGGGATAATAACCCTTGTATAACTATGTTATGCATTGGGTTATAATTAATGGTACAGTATTGAACTAAGATTACTAATTAAAAAAAATAATAAACATTTATATAACTATTTCTAATAAAAAAAAAAACTCTTTCTTGATTAACCCGCATCTGAAAAAAAATTACCAAAAAAGATAACCAAAAATTTTTTCGTCAAAAAAAACAGTAAAGGACCCTGGAGGGTCTTTCTCATCCTCCAAGGGTCAGCCCATCGAACCAACCCACACTCTACTAGATGTTCTCATCACTGATGTCGACAAAGGCCTTGCCGTAATCTTCCACAAAAACAACAGCACAATGTTGTATATATTACCCCTCCTATTGCCAGTACTCGCCTCCCAAAATTTGAAAACCCTTCCAAAGCATGGTTAACACCAGTATGTCTCTAAGAAGATAGCCATGAAGCCCTCAAAGTAATCTCAGTCTCCTTCGAAGTACATAAAAAAAGGCTTGGAAATCATTACACTGAAGTCAAAACCAGCATTCTAAACCCTATGTCTTTGGAAACAATGAACTCTTTTTTCGAATATCAACACATTTTTTGCCTATTCGATAGTGATAAAGAAGAAATCATGAAAGCACTAATTAAACAGAAACTCACCTACAGGCTTCATGTCTCTTGAAACAAAATTGATATCAACATCGACGAAGCAGCCAAAACCTTCTCCTTGGAGCAAAAAACCGAAATGCCAATACCCTCTCCAAACACTCCTGCCCTAATTGGGGAAAAAATCAACGACAATAGCATGCAGCTTGATTGTGAAGATAAAACAATACATGCGAGTACCCCTGAGCACAATCTCAATCAGTCCAACTCTCACACAGTGCCCCCTAAACATAGCAACAATCAATCCAATTTTAGTGCAACACCAAATGAAAATCTCACAGTACAACACATCATCCAAAGCCACAATATGCCCAGCCATTACCAATCACAAGAACCAGAACAACCAGCCACAACAAACATGGAAATTGATGAACACCCCTCCCCAACCCAATCAGTGGAAACCCTGGAATCCCTTCCCACCTCCTAGGCTGACGAAACTAACAAAGTGCTAGAAGCCTCTCAAAACATTAACAACACTAGCACTCCTGATATCAGAGGTACTAACCAACCCAATGAACAAGAAAAAATCCTAAAACTATATGAGAAAATCAATAATTGTGATAGAGATGCCAAATCAATTGTTGGTCTCTTCCTTAAAATCAAAAGTGAATTACCAGGCACATCAAAAACTTCTCTTAAAGGCATATTCTCCAAAATCAAGCACAAAGACTGCGACTTCTTTAGGACATTCGCAAAAGATGAACTAATCAAGGGTCAACATCAAAAAGAATACGAAAAGCTTGAAAAACAGTTCCACACCAACTGCTGTCAGGCCAACAATTTGGGGTATATCACCCAAACCAATAGAAACAAGATTAAAAAATCATTAACAAAGCACTCTTTGTTGCTTACCTCAGATCGACTGACCTCACACTTTTCAAGTACTGGCAAGTAGCCCAGTTACTAGAATACGGATTCAATTTCTTCCTTGACCCCTCTCTCCAGAAAATTGACTATCAGGAACTTTACGAAATATGCAAAGAGCATATCCAAAAAGACCTACCAGCACTACCAGACGACCCCAAGGACATCCCAACCTCAATCAAAATCAGAATTTCCAAAAGTATTCCGATTATCTCAAGAAATGACACAAGCGAGGTCGCAGGCAGCCTTAGGGCCTTCTACAATTTTGACACTCTACCCACCTCATACTTCGTCAAAAGACCTGACCTACCTGACAAATCTGAAGATCTCTCATCAGAATTTGCTAACTGGTTTCCCTTGGTGGAGAGATATGAACTTGCAGACCTCAAATTCCGCATTGACAAACTTAGAGAGCACTACTATGTTCCCAACAAATTACTAGAGTCTTACTTCGACCTTCCTTCACCAAAGAAACATCTCCCCCCTTCATACAGAGATCTGCCACCTAATCTTGCCAAACACTTCCCAGTTGTCAATACTATAGAAGAATTCAAGAAAGAAGTTCAGCTCTTAAGAGAAAATAATTATGCAGTCAAACGTCTTCCTCTAGACTACATCAGAGTAAAGCGGCCACTTCCTCCTTCACACTGGTACAGTGAAATAACTCTATTCTTCTCCTAGTCATCATGCAAGAGGAAGCAGACAATCTCATCGGAGACCTAAAGAACAAATTCCATATTAAACTCTCCCTAGGCCCAGAATGGATTAAAGATAACCTTAGCCAATCAAATAAACCCAAGATACCAGAGGACTTCACAATAATTGAAACAGAATTTGACATCACTAAAGAACAACTAAATAGAGACTCTTCAGAATTCAAACAAACAATCACAAAAATTAAAAATAAATACTTTGGAGAGATTCCTAAAGACTGAATCACACCTTTCCTATCTGATCTGCCAGACATCACAGAAGCCAACAAAATCCTGAAAGACAACAACACCAACCTGTCCTTTTCACTTACTGATGACTCACAACTGAACAATAATATTAAAATTCTTGGTAACCACTTCCACTTCAAAAAACTTCCACCCAAATATATAATTGAACCTGAGTCACCCGAACCAATACTGGCTCTTCTTCCTAACCTAATCTAATGACAGATACAATTCAGACCAACTCTCAACACTCCCTAAACAACACACACACCTCCCTTAAAAACCTTATCAATATTACTATCCTTAACGTCAGAGGTCTTACACAAAGAGGAAAGCTCAATGAACTTACCAAAGCAATGAAAAGTGAAAGAAGTATTTTATGCGCCACAGAAACAAAAGCCTCAATATTCAATTCTTTACCGAAAACATTGAACAACAATACAATCATTTCAAGTTACCCAAGTACTTCAACAACCAACGGTGCATGCATCATCACAACCAGAGCAATAGTCACACATATATTCAAAACTTTCTCAACAAACAAGTACTGGTGCACAGTATATCTCAAGTTCAAGTCCAAAGTCAATATCATGATAGTATCCTGCTATCTACCACACGAGAGAACAACAAGAAAGACAGCAGTATTATCACTAAGAAGCTTCATTCAACAGCATCACAAGAAACACATCATAATCGCTGGGGATTTTAACTCTTATCCTAAATCAGCCCCCTCAATAAATGCACATTCCCCCTCCTTCAAAAGAAATATATATAGGTACCTTACCAACTTTGTTGATGTCACAAAGGCCTTGAACAAAGAACACTCCTACACACACATAACAACCACCAGTGCTTCAAGAATAGATCAAATCTGGATCTCCAGAAATCTCGTCAGCAAAATTCTCTGCTACAAGATCTCAGAACAACAGGCTATACCAACAGACCACAAACAAATAGATGTAGTACTAGATTGGTTCAAATATAAGCCAAGCAGAATATCCTTTTCAACAAAAACTTATCAGTTTCATAAAGCGAGTAAAGAACAGATACAAGCTATGCAAGAAAAAGTAGAAATACATTGCACTGCTATATCCAATCCATCCTGGGAATCATTAAACACAATTATCAAAAACGCCATGAATAACAACATATCAAGAAGAAGTCAAACTATTGCAACAAAGAAGTTTAATTCACTAAAACACTATGAGAATGCAATCAAGTCTCTTAAAAAAGCCATTAATCTAGTAATAGCAAATAGAAAGCCCAACAAACTTCATCTGGTCGCAGCTAGCGCACACAAAGCCTTATCTAACAAACCACTATCTCTCGTCTCCCTCAGGAAAACCTTCAAAGTTCTTCTAAAAGAAAAAATTACAAAGGCCAATGAAATCATTTTAGATGAAATTCAAAAGAACATTCAAAAACTACACTAGATTCTGGTCCAAGCCTAAAAATGCACTCAAGAAGGCCCTTGGAAACCTCAAGCCAGCTTTAGACCTTTCAATTCTCTCTGACAAAGGCCAACTTCAAGATGACCCAGACAAACTTGTAAAGATTATTACTAATCACTTTAAAACCACTCTAGCAACAAGTCAATTTGTCTTAAGCGATGAATGGCAACAAGAATATCTGCCCAAAAAAGACCTCTCAAATAAAGTATTCGAAAGTATCCACAAAGAAATCACAGCAAAAGAAATCAATCAAGCACTTATAAAACTTTCTAACCAGAAAGCCCCAGGACTAACACATACAGTGTGTAACAAAACTTTTTGGAATTTTTTATTTATTCATTACTCAAAAACTACTGCATAGAAATTAATAAAA